GCTCCAACCACCTTCGCTGCCTCATGTTCAGCTCCTTCTGAGTGAATATGTACTTCCAGCTCTTGTGGTCGGTAAAGATCTCGCACTTGCCTCCGTAGAGATAATGCCTCCAAATCTTCAAGGCATGGACAACAGCGGCCAACTCAAGATCATGAGTGGGGTAGTTCTGCTCGTGAGGCTTCAGCTGCCTCGAAGCATAGGCTACTACCTTCCCTTGCTGCATAAGAACGCAACCCAAACCCATCTTCGAAGCATCACTATAGACGGTGAACTCCAAAGTAGGGTCGGGTATGGCTAGAACCGGTGCGGTAGTGAGTCTCCTCTTCAACTCCTGGAAACTCTCCTCGCACTGATCACTCCAGTCGAACCTCACGGTCTTCTTCGTAAGGTTGGTCAGTGGCTGGGCTATCTTCGAGAAGCCCTCGATGAATCTCCTGTAGTATCCTGCTAACCCCAGGAAACTACGAACATCCGCGGCACTTCTTGGCGTATCCCATTTGCTCACCGCCTCGATCTTGCTGGGATCCACCTCAATGCCACGAGCGGTCACAATGTGGCCAAGGAATGCCACACGCTGCAGCCAGAATTCGCATTTGGAGAACTTAGCATACAATTTCTCGCGGCGAAGAGTCTCAAGCACAATCCTCAAATGCTCCTTATGCTGATCGATATCTCGGGAATAAACCAGAATGTCGTCGATGAACACAATGACGAACTGGTCCAGGAAATGATGAAAGACCCTATTCATAAGGTCCATGAAAACGGCCGGGGCATTACTGAGTCCGAAAGGCATGACTACGAACTCATAGTGGCCATAGCGGGTACGAAAAGCAGTCTTAGAAATATCCGACTCCCGGATCTTCAACTGATGATAGTCAGAACGCAAATCAATCTTTGAGAAGACGCTGACTCCTCTCAGCTGGTCGAAGAGGTCCTCAATACGGGGAAGGGGGTACCTGTTCTTGACTGTAAGGGCATTCAACTCCCGGTAGTCAATACACATGCGCATAGATCCGTCTTTCTTCTTCACGAATAGGACGGGCGCACCCCACGGTGAGACACTCGGACGAATAAAACCAAGCTTGAGCAACTCCTGGATCTGGGCCTTGAGCTCTTGAAGCTCCTTCGGCGCCATACGATAAGGGGCCTTAGAAACGGGGCCGGCTCCAGGAATTAGGTCAATGGTGAACTCCACCTGGCGGTCTGGCGGTCCTCCGGGCAAATCATCAGGAAAGACGTCGAGGTACTCGCAAACAATAGATACTCTCTCGGGCACCCGCTCATCAACATCGTCGGATACCATGGAAACAAGATAGCCTTGACAGCTACCCTTGGAAAGGCTCCTCCTGGCTTGCATAGAAGAGATGACCCGAGGCACAGTCCTCGAACTCACCCCAAAGAACACAACGGGCTGATCGGAAATGGGATGGAGGGTGACTTCACGCTCTTGGCACCGGATGTCGGCTCGGTAACGGGTGAGCCAGTCCATGCCCAAGATCACGTCAAAGTCTCGCATATCAATTACATAGGCATCGGCCTCCAAAACTCGACCACCAATACAGATAGGAAGATTGCGAACCACTGAATCAGAGATAATAATTTTTCCCGAGGCCAAACTAACCTCGAGAGGATCACAAGCATGCACGGTGCTAACAGATAAAGCCTCCAAACAATGAGATGAGATAAACGAATGGGTAGCACCGGTATCACATAAGGCAAAAACAGGCACATAGGATATCGAAAGCATTCCGGACATGGTACCTGCATGGCGAGCGGCCTCATCATGGGTGATAGTGTAGACTCGGGCCTGACCCCCAGCCCTCTGCTGGAACGGTGGGGGCTGTTGATGCTGCTGATGAGGTGGCGGTGGGGGAAGCTGCTGCTGACGCTGCTGGGGAAGGGCCTGCTGGTACTGCTGCTGTCTCCTCGGTTCGGGGCAGACACTAGCATAGTGTCCCGGACGGTTGCAGTTGTAACAAGCTCGCTGGTCTGCTAAGCACTCCCCGGTGTGGAACCTGCCGCATTTAGGGCACCTCTGCTGTTGACCCTGGGTGGGTCGGTCGTCGCGTCTGCCGAAGTTCCCTTTCTTGCCCTTGCCCTTGTTCTTGAAGTCAGACTTCCTCTTACTCGAACTAGAGCCGGGCGGCACGGTCGAGATGGGCTGAGCGTACTGGATAGCCTGAGGAGGCTGGGAGGCAAGAGGATAGGCTGGAATAGGAGCAACCGGAATGAGACAGCT